GATCACATAATTTCGCACTACACCGAAATACCCAGTTAAACAATAGAGTGTTTCTGTAAAGGAGGTGTCGGCTGATAGTTGCCCCGCGGGAATTTGATGTTCTAAAAACAAATATTTTCCCGAGAAGCGAAGCTTCGAGGGCAAATATGCTGCTTTTAAGGTCATCAAATTTTCAAGGGGCAACTATTAGATTGATGGTTCCGAGACATAAACACTCTATTGTCGTTATTGTTCACCACTAAATTTTCTTCCGCGCACCAGTTTAAAAACAATCAATAATTATTACGATCGAGTAAAAGCTCCACTAACCAGTAGTGCTTACAATTACAACCACCTACCACCCCTCCCTGAGTAATAGCACTCTTCCCCCACCCCTCCCTCAGTACTTTTCGACTGCACCCACCCCTTCCTGAGTACTAAAGGTGTACCTCTCCCCTTATAAAATCGTCCAAAATAGCCCAAAAAAACGTCCAAAAAATCGTCCAAAATATCGTCCAGTCCGGTCGATATTTTACCCTGTCTCTGATAGAGGCGTCAACTTTTACGCAATCATGTCATCATCCTGTGGCGTGAAAAGGTAATTAAAGAAGCGGTATCCAAAAAAAGTGTACATGGTCGGCGCTTATACTGATGAGACAAAGCGCTCGCCTGGAGCATGTTGCAGCTGATGATAGTCACGTTGAAGAAATTAACAAATGGTAAACACCACAGCGTACACTATTGAGTTATGGATGCACGCGGGAGGTTGCTAAGCACGAAAGAAGCGTAAGAGTCGCTCGAGGCGATAGCCGAGAGCGACTCTAGCTTCTTGAGTGCTTAGCAAACCTCCCAGGTGCATCCATAACTCAATAGTGTACACTATGGTGTTTACCATTTGTTTTATAACATAACATTGTAGCTAAAGAGTTCCCTTTTATTCAACAAATCTTACGGGACCAGAAAAAACAAGCGGGCGCGTAAAAATAGTCTTTGCATTTGCTCACGTCAGCAGCGTACACCCATGGGCAAATGGGGGACGCTAAATTGACCAATCAGGGCGCGCGCTTTGCTTTGGTTATGTTATAACATTTCTTAGTCAATGCTTGCGTATTCAGTTGACTTCATTAATACTAACACAGGCTGCGACGCTTATTTACTACGACATCTAACTGGCGGCCTGAGTGTTTTGTTTTCTAATCAGTTCTACCCGATTTTTGTTTTCGGATCGGAGACAAAATAAATTCCTGAACCGACGATTTTTTTCCGCTGTGTTTGGAATCTTTGACAGCTGACGCTCGGTGGTGTATTTTTTGAGCATCCGGATACCAGTTATTGGGAATGAACTCGGCGAATTAATATTACAACCTATCATTTCTTTTGCTGTTTAACGCAGAGTCCACAATACATGGCGGCTCTTTCTCGCTGATACTTATGTCGCATTTATAGTTTACACACTGTTCCAGTTTTTTTTTAACTTTATTCATTTAGTACTCATAGGATTATTTGTCACTGGCCTTCAGATGATCTATATTGGTGCCGGAATCCTCGAGATGGTTGCGAGAGATTCAGACATTATAGGAACGATTTGATAAAGGCACTGGTGTTGAAATTCTTTTTGCGCTACCTCCTCGGCAACGATAATTTAAATCGTGAATAAACAGAGACCGGGAGTAGTAATCATTGTTTTCAAATCAAGATAGGAGATGTTGAACAAGGTGACAAAGCTCACGAAGTGAAAAATTATTAGGCGTGCAATGTGTGCCTGAAAAATGCGAAAGAGGAGGAAGGAGAAATTAGTTTAAACAGACGAAGACCAACTTTCGTTTAATGACACGGTACGAACAAGTTTGAACTCCCTTGAACTTTAACAGGGTTCGTACTGTCTTGCAAGTCCGTGAATTTCAGAGGAGGTCCGCCAATGAATTCAATAAATCCTTTGAAAGTCCTTGAATTTCTATTTTCTTACAGCTTCCTTGAGAGGGGTGGAACGTTAACTTTTTCCAAAAACCAACTGTAAATAAGTCAAGCGTTTTTCGCTGGGGTCGTTTTGGAAATTAACATGGAGCGCGGTAGTAGATCCAGTAATGCGTTATTGACTAAGCATAAGGACTCAAACCTGAGCCAAGGGTTGAGAGCCAAGAGAGAGCTTGCCTGCAGGTTACACATGGACAAAATGGCTGCGATGCTGGCCACCGCCGAAAACGAAAAAAAGGAAAGGCAAACAGCCAATCAGTTCGCAGAATTTGCTACAGCTTGCACCGCTTGTGAAGCCTACCATATAAATAGGCAAGGTAATGCGCCGGCGTAATATAACTCTTCAAGCAAGAATCTCTCCTAACATATTTATCAAAGGTAGTCAAAGTTTAAAATGTTATGAGAGCTGAAAAAGAAAGGGTTTCTGTGTCGCGCTTATTCAGAGCTACAAGTTTGGATGGTCGGGGGTGGGCGCCTATTCAAGGAAATACGGTATATCGATTACTTGAGGCCGTGCGCGTTACTTCGTGTTGTTTCATAATCCATTTTATCTCATATTGCCCAGTTTGTCAGGAAATCAGTCGTCGTCGTATGTTTACGTCGTACAAAAACGTCGCATCAGAAGTTTCACGATCTAGCTTCGCAAAGAAATGTACCAGCTGTTGTTTTGCCTTTGTTTTTTTATTGATTTCTTTTTGTTGACAGCATTTTGTTTTTTGACGTTCTCTTCCCGTCGCGGTTTGCAGAGCGACTTCTAGCAGTAAATAAAGGTGTTTCTCAAATTTTTTGTCTCAAATGACCATTTATTCCTGTCGCTCTGCTGTAGATAGGTGAAGAGCTCAAAGAGCAGAAAAGTTTGAGTCACAAGTATTTCTTCACGTTACATATCCCAGAAGCGCTTAGGCATTACTCTGAATGCCAGGATTTCAGCCTGTGTGAACCAGAAAGGATAGACAACACTTCCCTGTAATAACAATGAATGAAAAACTAAGTATGTTATATATCCCAGAAGCCCTAAGGCATTACAATGAATGCCAGGACTTCAGCCTAGGTCAACCATTGAGGATAGACAACACTTCCCTCGAATAACCTGTGATTGTCAAAGAAACTACGTATGTTATGTATCCTAGAAGCACTGAGGCATTACTCTGAATATCAGGACTTCAGCCTGGGTGAAGCAGAAAAGATAGACAACACTTCCCTATATTAACCATGAATGAAAAACTAATTATATTATATATCCCAGAAGCACTCAGGCATTACACTGAACGCCAGAGCTTCAGCCTGGCTGAACCTGAGATAGGATAGACACTTCCCTATATTAACCATGAATGAAAAGCTAAGTATACGTTATATATTCCGGAAGCACTCAGGCATTTAACTGAATGCCAGGACTTTAGCCTAGGTGAACCAGAAAGGATAGACATCACTTCCCAAGATTGACCATGAATGAAAAGCTAAGTATGTTATATATCCCAGAAGCACTAAGGCATTACACTGAATGCCAGGACTTCAGCCTGGGTGAACCAGAAAGGATAGACAACACTTCCCTATATTAATCATGAATGAAAATCTAAGTATGTTATATATCCCAGAAGCC